ACCTCCGAACTCCCGTCGCCCGCCCCCCAAACTCCAAGCCTCGAGCCCTCCACTCCAAACAACGCCCCCCAAGCCCCTCTATCCACTCGCCACTTCTCCTGCCGCAGGGCAAGCCCAACACCACGGAGAACCTGTCCAAGATCCAACATGGGCTTCTCTTCTTTTCTTATGTTCTTAAAATAATAATTATGCAAAAATAATAATTATGAGCAGGGCACTTTTTTGGGGGGGGGGAAGTGCTGGAACTCTCAAGAGGGAAATGAAGTTTTCAGTCTGTATACTAAAAACTCATGAACTTTTAAACAATTTAAAAATAATTTTGTTGAAGAGGTTCCGAAACTCTGTTCTGGCGTGTTGCTCCAGAAAAAAAGCCCTGATTATTAAATTAGAGGTCCTGCAAGGGATACTGTGCTAGTTTATATTAATCATTTAAAGAAATTTATTGTCAGAGAAGCACGACAGTTGTCAATTGAAGTATGGCCTGAGGAAGATTTTGATGTTCTTGATTTATTAACAGATGCCAAGAAACCAGATGGGCTATCTCAGTTACCTATTAATGAGAACTTAACTGATCACCAGTATGGACAGTTAATGAATGTCCTTGCAAGATCTGTCATTTGATGTCATTCATATTAGATGAAGGGATAACGCTTTGGTAGATTCCCTTTCCAGGTGTTATATTGATTCTGAGTAAAGTTGTGTATGCTGATTAACGTGTTGAGCTGTATTTTGAGGGGTTTTTTTTGCAAATGTTTTATGTAATCCTGTTTTTATAGGAGTAGTGCTGATATAATCTATTGATTTCTATGTGTGTTTTAGAAGTTGCTATACATGTAAGCTGTTGTGATGATGATGATGATGTGTATGTGTATATATTGTTTTAACACTGACAGGGTAGAGGTTTTATTTTCCTCTCTTGTCAGTGTAGGGGAATGTAATGAACTTGATAGCTTAAGTTCGAGGTTCTAATAAGATGGTTTAACTTTGGTTCAGAACTCTAAGTATTGTTCAGATTCTGGCTTACTCAAAAGTGCTCCCTTTGCTGATTATTAGTTTTAGTTTCCCAGAGATTTGACCTTGGGAGATGGTTCTGTCATCCCAGAGCTGAAATGCAAATTAACTGTTTGGTTCTGATTGCCAGTTGAGTTGCCGAGTGAGGCATTGTCTGCTAAAAAAGACGGCTTCTCAACGTACATAGATTAGTCATCTTTTTATTATTTCAGCCTGGCATGCCTCCATCCTACACCAGTTGAGCATAGGGAGGCAACATATTCTGTAGAATAGGTGAGGTGGATGACTAAAGAATGCTATTCTGGGATGCTTGAAGATAGTAAATTCTAAAATCTTAGATAGACAGATTTTTAGATCGCAACAGTAAGGTTTATTTGTTTTATGTCTATTGCCTGTATTTGAGTGATTTATGATGTGCAACACTCCTTAAGCCAATAAACTTGATTTATATTTAAGCTGAGTCTTGAGGCACTGACATGAGTGTAGGTACACCTCAGAACGAACTCGGAGGGTCAGAAGCTGAGGCCTTGGAAGGTAAAGTAAAAGGGGGAGTACATCCTACCTATTTGGCTGCTAGAGTTTGGTGTAGTGGTTAAGTGCGCGGACTCTAATCTGGGAGAACCGGGACTCTAATCTGGGAGAACCGATTCCCCACTCCTCCACTTGCACCTGGCTGGATGCCCTTGGGCAAGCCGTAGTTCTGATAAGAGCTGTTCTTGAAAAAGAGCAGTTTCTGTCAAGAGCTCTCTTAGCCCCACCTACCTCACAGGGTGTCTGTTGTGGGGAGGGGAAGGGAAAGGAGTTTGTAAGCTGCTCTGAGACACCTTTGGGTAGTGAAGGGTGAGGTATAAATCCAATCTCTTCTTCTTCTTCTTCTAAAGGTTTGTGGAAGTTTGTGATGGTCCCAAAGATATGTTGGTTCCAGACTGTGTAGGGCTTTGAAGGTTAGACCCAAGACCATGAGCCTGATCCAGTATTCAACTTGGAGCCAGTGCAGCTGGCAGAGCAGTGGCTCTTGATGGTGTACCTGAAAGCACATGCACCGCCACATTCAAGACTAGTTGGAGTTTCCAGGTCAGTCTCAGGGGTAGCCCTGTGTAGAGCAAGTTACAGTAGGATAATCTGGAGGTTACTGTTGGTTGGATTGCTGTGGATAAGTCAGGGTGAGACAGGAAGAGACTCAGTTGCCTGACCTGGTGTAGATGGAGAAACACCAGTCTGGCAACAATTGTGTTCTGAGCCTCCATTGAAAAGGAAGCATCTAGAAGCACACCCAATTCACAGAGTCACCCTCACCACATCTGGTCTGACAGGGCAAAGTCAGGAACCACTGGCTCCCTGCATCTCCTTGCAGACCAAGCCAGGCACCACCACATCTCTTCTCCTCACAGAACGAAGTCAGGCACTACTCTGCCTGTGCTACTGCTCACAGGGTGAAGCCTGTGCTCTTCCTTCCTGGTTGCACAGGGCCCAAGTTGGTATGGGGTGAAGGCCATGCCTAGGCCTCCAAACACCACCATATCTGTACTCCTCCTTGCAGGGCAAAGTTGGGTGTTGCCATGCCTGCTCCTCCTTTCTGGCCACACCATGCCCAGGCTGGCAGGCTGAAGCCAGGCACTAGTAAATTAAAGGGTCAGCCTGTCTCTGGACAGGGGCAATTATTGGGCTTGTAAAGAACATACGCCTAGAGTTTCACATGGAAATCAGAATCCCCTTTCCGTTTACAGAGCATGTGGATTCTGTCCATAAGGGAATGTCATCAAGCTGATCTTTTGTACACTGCGACTAGTCAGCACACGGGGTCATCTCCTACATTTTTAAAAAGGGGAGGGGGGACCTGGCCATGAAAGCAGTTTGCAGGTAGTATTTAATATTATTATTTTTTTACTTCCACCATTTCCCCAATGGAAATCACTAGCCAAATCTGCTTTCAGGAGAAACATAAACATTCTTTGCTTGACTTCCGTTTCACCATATTATTACAGAATGGTTTCCTAAATCACAAACTCTGGCTGAAATCCTGTTTACCAAATGTTTTTACCAATTTGAAAGTGGCTGTTGATGTGGCTTGTCCTGAAGCAAAGGTTCCATTGGACTCTTCTCTCTTCTCCTTGGGTTGGGTTTTCTCGGCATCTGCTGGCGCCACAGTCAGGAAGGGACAGGAAGGTGCACATGTAAGATTTGGAGGGTGGCTGGAAAGTAAAGCTTACAGATAAGCCAGTCTTCAGCGCTTGCTCCAGTGGAGTGGTGGGAATGACGTTTGCAAATAGCAGCTTATGCAATATTTTATGAAGGTGTAGTCCATAGTTCAAAGATCTGATTGTATCCTGGAAAAAATGCTATGTAAGTTCAGGTCAGCTCCGCAAGTACTATAAATAGCTTGCCTCACTTGAGGCACTGACAGATATTCTTCTTTATTAAGCTAGAATACTCTGAGGAGTAGAAGGGCCTTATCTCCAGGACTGAAAGCCTCTCCGAAGGTAAGGACAGTAAAGAAAGCGTTCTAGGGCTGCATCTGCATGGCCAAGATGCTCTGTTTCTCTGTTGTTGCTGCTGCTGCCGCTGAGGCATTTGCAGTATCAGCACTGCGTGGGAGTTTTGTGTGTCCCTTTGTCTGGACCTCTGCACCAAAAAGTGCCTGGGACTTCAATGCAAGCTGGGAAGTCAGACGGACTGGGAGGTCGTGGCAATAGATTGTTGTAACATTATAATGCTGTAGCCCGATCGCCACTGCCAGTTTTTGAAAGCCTTTTCACAAAGCCCCCTGGTGGTGCAGGGTGTGTGTGTGTGTGGCCATAAAAGGGGGGTGGGTGAGGCAAGGAAAGTGGCACCAGTGTGGGCAGGACCTTCAAAAACATGAGCCTTCCCATCTATACGGCTGGGACCTTTCCAGAAAGATCAGATCAAGCCAGATTGGTGAAAAACTGGAGCAAAGCAGGGAAGAGCCCAGTATGGGGATGATTAGGCTGCAAAGTCACGTGGGTGCTCCAAAACCTCCACCTGAAAAGCAATCTAGGTCACAAAGGGTTTGCATATATAGCGCAAAAGGAAAACAATTAGCAAACATTTCTTTTGTCAAAAGTATTGCCAGAGTTTGAGTTTGGTGATTAAATATATAGGAAAATTCAGAGGAGATGTATATATAGATACAGACATAGATATAAAATCTGTTTGTTCTTTTTCAAGTGTGAGTAATCAAGGTTTTTACATTCTTACCCCCATGCCCTACATCTCCTACTCAGAATTAATGTTGTATTTTCTCGGCATCTGCTGGCTCTCATTACTCACTATCTCTCCAGCTGCTCTGTTACCCTATCATTACTCACACCTGTTACAGCCCAGTGTCATTTCCAAATCTTATTTCAGGTAGCAACCAATTATAAAATTATGCAGATAGTGTCATGGGCTGGGGGTGGAAGCAATCTGTCAGGGGCTGGGTTGCCAGTCAAAGGGAGTCCAGAACAGGCCAAGGTCAGGAGCCAAGAAGACAGTGCAAAGTCCAAAAAGCCAAACTGGGGTCAGGAGCCAGAAACACAGAGCCAAGTCCAAATCTCTAACCAGACACATAGTCCAAAGCCAAGCCAGGGTCAGGAGCCAGGAACACAGAGCCAAGCCCAAAGCCAGGGGGTCCAAAGATTTAGGTGCAAGATCAGAGCCGGAGTGGATGCTAGCAGCATGAAGCTGACTTGTTGCTTCCACAAAGGGTACTGCCCAGAGTGTGGAGTTAAATGCTGCTACCAATTAGCCAGCTGCACGATCGGCCAGGCTCTTGTTAGAACTCTGGGCTGGCTGAGCGTCTCCCGTGTAGCCTGGCCTCTCTCTGCCTGGTTGCTAACTTGTGCCACAGTCGCTCCCTTAAACAAGTCACACGTGGGGGTGAGTCAGGAGAGACTTTCAGCTTGCAGTTCTTCCTTCTTATCTGGGCCAGGTGTGAAGGCTGCTGTTACAGCCACTTGCCAGCTATCCTCCTCTGCTGCTTCAGAGGGGCCAGCTGTGGTTTCTGCAGGCTTTGTCAGCTCATCCCCATCCATGCCCATGACAGCTAAATATCATCATGCAAGCGCCGCCTTCAGCATCCAAGTCCGAACTTCAGGCCTTTTTGGGGCTCCTTAACTTCTACCACTCCTTTTTGCCCCTCAAAGCTGCAGTTGCAGAACCGCTCCATCACCTCCTGGACAAGTCGGCACCTTGGGTCTGGGGTCCACCACAAGCAGCTGCATTCCAGGCGGTCAAAGACCTGCTTGTCTCGAATGCGGTCCTGGCGCATTTCAATGAGGCACTCCCGGTGGTGCTGGCCTGTGACGCTTCCCCCTATGGGGTGGGAGTGGTACTGGGCCACAGGCTGCTGGACGGTTGTGAGGTCCCGGTTGCGTATTATTCCAGGACTCTGTCAGCGGCTGAGAGCAATTACGCGCAGATCGATAAGGAGGCGCTGGTGATTGTGGTGGGGTGAAAAAGTTTCACCACTATCTGTACGGGCGGCCCTTCACGGTCCTCACAGAGCACAGCTGTGACTGCATCACCTGAAAGGCTTCCTGCCTGCTCTTTATGCAAATGGAGCTTTGCACTCACACAGCTCAGCCTGGAGAAGAAGGCTGCACCGCCATTTATAGCCAGCACAAAACAACAACTTTTATGGCCTCAACCACCATGAATGGACTGTGAGGAAACACGTAACCCTGATATCTGGTTTGCATCAGAAAGGACAGTTTCCTGTTGAAGACTATTTTATGGCTTGGGACCAAGCTAGAGGTATCTGCACATCAATGGTTACCAGGGTACCCAACTTCACACCTTGGACAGATGCCTTCCTTGAGTTAAGGGTTTAGATTTCAACATTGCCCACTCCCTCTAGGTAAGACACGTCATTCCATATAGCCAATAGTATAGAGTCCTGGGACGGACTATCCAGGTAGGTGGGACCTGAAGGATGGCACAGAAGCCACCTCCAAGGACCCCCTATAAAAAGTGGTGTTCAGCAGCCTGAACCCTGCTAGCCATCTTCTTCCCTTAGCTATTAGCTTACAGACTTGCTACTCTTGTAATCCTTTGTTTTCATACTTGACCTCGTGGACTGCAGCCAAGAGGTCCACACGTGTTTGGCAGGTTCCAACCATGTGCATTAGAGTACTTGTAGTTATCCTGTTTTATTCCATCTATTCTTCGTGGGGAAGATCAAGCCTCTGATCAGATAAGTATTTGCTATTCCCTTCCCGTTCCTTTAGTGTAAAAGTGACTATTTACTATTTCTGTAATGCTGAGGATCTGGTATGGTTGTGTGTGAGAATCTGTTTTTCGTATGTATGTGGATTAGACGTTAGGAAATAAAAGGAACCAATTGCTTTAAACATATCAGCCTCATCTCCTTTCATAACTGGACATTCCTCAGGGGCTAATTTGAATCCTGTATACATTGGTCAGCACCACCGAAATATATATTTCATAAAGCCTCTGCTGTAGATAAAGCAGTTAGGCTAACAGCCCCGGGTGTTCTGCTGGTCTATTCCCCTGGCGGGGTACTTCTACGCTCTCGTCCATCGCCCTGGCAAGGCAATGGGCCACATGGACACCCTGAGCCATCTGCCGCTGCTGGTCTGTGATCCAGATTCGGATCCTGCCCACCAGATCGCTCTCCTGGAGACCCTTCCGGATCGGCCAGTCTATGTCGCGGAGGTGGCTCGCGGTACCTCCAAGGATAAAGTACTTTGCCGGGTCTTGGACTGGGTGGTGAGGGGGTGGCCCGCGGCCAAAGGAGACCCTGACATAATGCCCTTTGCTTCCCAGAAGGACGAGCTGTCCGTCCACCGGGGCTGTGTCATGTCGGGTAGTAGGGTGGTCATCCCAAAACCCTTATGGGAGAAGGTCCTCACTGCCCTTCATGAAATGCCCCCCGGGGTGGTGCGCATGAAAGCCTTGGCCCGGAGCTACGTCTGGTGGCCGGGGTTGGACTGGGACATAGAGGACGTGGTGAAGCAGTGCAACCCCTGCCAAGCGTCCCATCCCGAGTCTCCCCGAGCCCCGGAACGGGCCTGGGAATCTTCCCACCACCCCTGGTCCCGGTTACACTTGGATTTTGTGGGACCGTTCCAGGGGCAACTCTTCTTTATCCTGGTGGATTTTTTCAGCAAGTGGCTGGAGGTAGTTCCTGTACCCGTCACCTCTCAAAGGCGGCCATCCGGGCGATGTGGCGGATCTTCAGTGCCTAGGGAATCCCCGACACTCTGGCCACGGACAATGGGACGGCATTCACGTCAGTGGAGTTCCAGGAATTCACGAGCGACTACGGGATCCGCCACATCCGGGCTGCCCCGTTCCACCCTGCCACCAACGGCCAGGCCGAGCGCATGATCAGAAGCACAAAGGATGCTCTCCGCCGCTTGAACTCCCCGGACTGGGATTATAAACTGGCGGCTTTCCTTTTTGGCCAGCGAGTGATGCCCCACACCACTACGGGGTGCAGTCCGGCAGAGCTACTTCTGGGCTGCCGCCTGGCATCCCGGTTGGATCATCTGCACCCTGACCAGGCATCGACAGAGGCACCGGGCACGGAGACGCACGAGGCAGCCAGGGGTTTCTTCCCAGAAGATCCCGTGTATGCATGGAACTACACCCAGGGGCCCACCTGCATCCCGGCACGAGTCATACGAGTTAAGGCCCCCAGATCGTATGAGGTCTCTTGTGAGGACGGCCAAGTTCTACACCGGCACATTGACCAGCTACGCTGCCGGACGATGCCATTGGACCCCGAGGACTCGGACATGGCCAAGGTTCCAGAGACCTCACCCCAGGCCCCACTCCCGGTGGCTGACTCCCAGCCTCTACCCTTGGTTGAACCCGAGACACCTCTTCTGGAGGTGCTGGGGACGCCGGCACTGCTGCCCCCGGTGCCTCTCCTGGCCAGCTCGCCTCCGAGGGCTCCCGGGGTAGAAGCCGCAGCAGTCCCTGAACCTCGCTGCTCTACCCGCACCAGGAAGTTACCAGCCCACCTGAAGGACTTTGTCTGTGGGTGCATTGCGACCAAGGGGGGGAGGGGTGTAATGTATCCAGTCCAGACAAGTCCAGGCAAGTCCAGAGACAAACGTTGAGCTTCGCTTCAAGAGACAATGGACTATGCGGATCCTAGCCCGCTCCAATCAGGGGGCTAGGTTCCCGGCCGAGAGCCTATGGGACTCTCAACCACTGTAAATAACCTAAAGGCAAGTAGGGGGGTGGTGGCGGTTTCCCGGGGGATATAAGCCGGCCTGCGAGCCGGCCAAAGTTGTCTTGTTCCTGATCGAATAAAGTACGCTTTGCTGAAATCATTCTCCATCTATGTACTTTTCATAATCCTAATAAATTCACTGTAGGGAAGACTATTTTTAGTGTGCTTAGGATGCAAAGAATCAAGATGTAGTAATGAATTTCGATCTTTAGGTTTGGTATATACTCCAACAGCTAATTTCCCCTCATATTTGAAAACCCTAGTGTTGCACGAATCAGATGACCCCCCCCCCTTGCTATCACTAGACCCCAAGCTGGGTAGGCACTCCACCACCTTGCCACCCCTCCCGAGGGGAACCGCAAGGGCCTCAGATGTTGAGCAAGGGAGGAGGTTACGTCACCACCCTCCACACTCCTCCTTCTGGTCTGGTAGTCCTCTCTGTCTCTGTCTCTGTCTCTCTCTCTCTCTCTCTCTCTCTCTCTTTCTCTCTCTCTCTGTCTCTCTCTCTCTTTCTCTCTCTCTCTCTCTCTGTCTCTCTCTCTCTCTCTCTCTCTCTCTCTCTGGGTGTGACTTCTTACCAAGACCAGGTCATCCTCCTCAGCCTTTGCATCCGTCCCCCCTTTTATTCTCTCACCATACCACCTGATCCCTTGTGTTCCACCTTCCTCCCCTCCCCAAAAGCTCCGCCCCCTTCTTATTTGTTAATGCTCAACCTCGGGTGTGGCGACATTGTGCTTGTGATAGTCCGGCAGCATTTCCCCAGAGTCAGGCCAAAGCACTGGTGCTCCTGCAGCTCTCTCCTTTGTCTCAGTGAGTACCCCAGGGGCCAGGTCCTGGGTTGTGGCAGGTGGGGGGCCTGATTATTGAACTTGATAGTAAATTTAATAGTTGGATGGATTGAATTCATATAAGACACGAAATCATTGATGTTATTTCTGTTCTTAAAAATTAAAAAATATAATCCAAATACTGATGGTATAATCTGATCTCTTTAAAAAAAATGGTTGACTCTGCTATCATGTATGAATGTCTTTTCTAAAAAGAAATTTGATTTATACCCGCCCTTCACTACCCAGAGGAGTCTCAAAGCAGCTTACAAACTCCTTTTCCTTCCCCTCCCCACAACAGACACTGTGTGAGGTAGGTGGGGCTGAGAGAGCTCTGACAGAAACTGCTCTTTTTCAAGAACAGCTGTGCCAGAACTATGGCTTGCCCAACGTCATCCAGCAGGTGCAAGTGGAGGAGTGGGGAATCAAACCCAGTTCTCCCAGATTAGAGTCCACGCACTTAACTACTACACCAAACAACACCAAAATGGGTTGACTCTGCTATCATATATGAATGTATTTTCTAAATGGTCCATGAAGATGGTGGCTACGTCTGGAGCACATGGGCTCCCTATTGCTACTCCACATACCTGAAAGTTGAAGTCCTCTTTAAATCTGAAATATCTAGAATATCCATTAGAAAGTGAGTTGGTAGATGTTTATCTTTTCTCTGTTTCAAAACATTCCCAATAATTATTCTCGCTTCCTCCTGTGGGATGTGCGTATATAAAGCTCCTACATCCATTGTAACTAACATCTCCTCTGCTGTAATAGGTTGATTTTCTATCAGTTCTATAAAGTGCTTTGTATCCTTAATGTATGATGTTACAGTCTCTGCCACTGGCTTTAGAATGGCATCTAAATATTGTGCCAGAGGTTCAAATTCGCTCCCACTCCCTGATACAATTGGCCTGCCTGGGAGCAGTCTGCTGTCTTTGTGTATCTTTGGCAAAGAATACATTACTGGGACCCTAGGATATTTATTGCATAAAAACTTGGTTGTGTTATCATCTATATTTCCCATTATATTGGTCTCCTCTACTGTGGTTTTAATAATATTCATAATATGGGATGTTGGATCTGATTTTATTTTAATATAATTTTCTGGATTATTTAACAGGTTATATACCATTTTCTTATACTCTGTTACATCCATGACTACTATAGCCCCTCCCTTGTCTGCAGGTTTTATGACTATGGTGGGGTCCTTTGCCAATTCTTTTATAGCTTTATGCTCAGTAGTTACATTCTGTTGTCAATGCTTAAGTTGACTTTCAGTCTTTTCTATGTCCCTAGTCACCAGTTTTTCAAAAGTTGTTAGCTGTGGATCCTGAACTGATGGCATGAATGAAGATTTAGGTCGAAATTGTTTATACTCAACATTATCTGCATCACCAAACATAATTTTTAATTTCAATTGTTGAATAAACAGAAACAAATCTACTCTTGTTTTAAATCCATTATATAAAGGTGTTGGCACACACTCTAAACCCAAATTAAGTAAATTGTTTTCTACTTCAGTAATCTCTTAGATAAATTAATGACTATGTTCTGCGTCTGCCTCTGCGTGTTGTATACACATTTGTTTCCAAAGAACATTTTTGGACTTCCTGTATAAAAAAGGTCTTCTATCCCTTCTTTCATCTCCAGATGTGCCTGCTATTCCTCCCCCTATCTGTCTCTGAATCAGTTACATTTAAATCAGACCAAGGCCCCAGTCACACAGGCCAGATAATGCGGGGGGGGAGGCATGGCTGTTCACCCTGGAGCAAAATAAAGGGCGATAGCCCGATCACACGGTCCCCCGAGTCTCTGTGCTTCGGCTGTTAGCTGGTGATCACATGGCAATGCTGCAGTGTGGCAAAGAAGTGGTGCGGCGCAATCACACAAGTGTTTCGTGTTTGTGTGCATGCGCAGTTCTGTGGAGCAGCACTGCTTTCAGTTTCGTGTTTGTGCACATGCGCTTATGAAAAACATCCGGTTTGCAACGGGACGTGGATGGGTGCTGGATGCCACAGGATACTAGCGCTCCCACAATCAGACGCCCACCTGTGGTGTGCATTTTCTGGATACTAGTGCACTTTCCTTGGTACTTTTTAACTTAGCATCTTCGGCGGGATGTCACGGGTTGGCCACAGGTGCACTACGCTTCCCAGATGTTGCAGTGTGATTGCGCCCCGAAAATCCACCCAACATTCATGCCTTTCGCACAGCAAATTCTCCGTGTGACTGGGGCCCAATAGACTTTCTTACATCCCCTTCCTATTGAGCACCATCAGTATCCTCTGGAATTTTCATAATCATGTGTGTCTCTCCTATATTTCCTAATTTTATTCTCTTTTACTTTACTTTCAAATACTTTTATGTCACTCTGCAACTGTTTATTTTGTGTATCATAATCTTCAGCAACCATCTTTCCCTTTAAATTTTCTTGCACTTGATCAATTTCAACTGTGAGTTTACCAACCTCCTCTTGTGCTTTCTGAATAATTAATACCATTAAATCTGATGAACAGTTATTAACTATAGAAATCCATTTTCTTCTAAACTCTTCTGATTCTCCAAATATAGCAGGGGCTTTTGGGGGCCTTAGTCCCCTTGGAATTCTTCCTACCCTACAGTAATCCAATAAAGAGCTAGCATGCAGTTGCATGCATGCTTTCCTTTTGCTTAACATAAACAAAGTATTCCAATCATTATTCTCATTATTTATATCATCATTAATCATGGGAGTTACCCCCGAAAATATTTTTTATTTCTCTGTATTGCTGAATGTAAATTGCTCACTCCAATTCTCCATGTCCACACAGGTAAGTTCCAGCCACAAATGGACCACAGTGATTCAACCAAGGTTGCACCACACCAATGTTCACTGTGCAAAAATGATTCTAGTCCAATTACAGTCCACGGATTTGCTTTTTCTTCTTTTGTTTCTTTATTTTACATCATGCAGTACTGCTGCTGCTTCCAACTGCTTATTTAGTAGTTCATCATCCAATGTGAAACATGCAACTATTTGTCAATGGTGGCCTTGTGCTAGAAAGGGATTCTTCTCTTCTCAAAAGAATAAATAGACACAAATTTGGTATTAAAATTGGCAGCTGATTGAGATACCTGTGGCAGACCATTTCAGTCTACCAGGACAGTCGATTATTGACATGTAAGTCATTATTCTTCAACAGAAGAACCACTGATTTAAAATATATCAGTAGGCTGGATTGTATCACCAGAGTTAACACTTTTCTTAGCCACTATAAGTGTTAAAATGTTTACCATATCACATAGTTTTCAGGATTTCAAGTCTGGATAATAGTTTCAAGTCTGGATAATAGTCACTGGGCTTACCATGTATACTTTGAAGTGTTGCCTTAAAAAGGCACAAGAACACTTGCATTTCATGGGCTTTTTACTCCTCTTCACAATTTCCTACCCATATTTCTTGGCTGTGTATATATTCCACTGACTGAGAAATCAGTTCATGGATCTGATGAAGTGGGCCCTATCCATGGAAGCTTGTACTATGAAGAATCTATTAGTGCACCCACACTCCTTTGAGTTTTGGGTGTTACAGACTAACAAGGCCACTGCCACCAGCAGAATTCCATGCAACTCAAAAGCTTGTTGATCCCATCTTCTTTCCCTGTCTGGCATTTCTATTGCATGATGACTTATATTAAATCTTTGAGGTGAATCAGAAATTGTTGATTTTTTACGTGAAAACAGCTCTGTTGCACTTTGTTATAGAACTAGGATTGCCAGGTGCCTTCCTCCTACAGGCAGGGGTTTTGGGAGGGCGTTCTGGGGGTGGACAGGGAGTGATGTCATCATGTCAGTGGCATCAGGAGACGCTCTACTTTTGGAACAAAACTGTATGGTAAAAATGCCCCAACTGGGAACCTGGCAAGGCTACATAGAACTTATACAATGTTTTCGAAGGAAGGCTGGCATCCATAAACATCATATGAAACTGATTTGTACATAAAATTGCACATATCCTACCACTCTACCAAACAAAATTTGAAGACTTTCACCAGCCCAAGCAGCTGTCCTGGAATGCAAGTGGATTCCCCTCCAACAAAGCAGCCCCTTAATCTGGAGGGAGACTCCTGAGGTGGAAAAACTTATTCCAGTGTAAGGTAACACAAGGAACTGATCTGAATCCTTGTATTCTTATGCCAGCAGTGTTAGCAATGCAGTCACCTTCGGAGTACCTTTTCAAACACAAAGGATTTTATTTCCAACCCGAGCTGGTTACGGCAGAATACATAGATTCTCTGGAAGACTTTGAAATCAGAGACAGTGATGTATTTCTAGTCACCTTTCCCAAATCAGGTAAGACTATAGATATTTTTGTGAGGAATGACTTGACTTGTATTTAGACTCCCTTTGGGAATGTCTCCTGTAATACCACTGGATATTTACAGTGCCAATACTGTATATAATTTATTCAACGAGTCAGCATTTCAAAGGCACGAGATCTATGCAACATGACGAGAAGCTGCTATATCTGTTCTTTACTCAGTCTTATTTTACCTCATCATTTGTATCCCAGTGTCAAACTACAAAGTGATCTGTTACAACTACCTTGATTGATTTGTTTTCCAAATTAGACAAGATGTCAGGACATTCATGACTGGAGCTCCTGAGCAACTTTGTGGTAAATAGCTGGAAGGCACCCCTATTCTGATGGGGGAGGGGACATCTTGGAGGAAAGAGTTAATCATATTCCCCACATCCTGCCTAAATTTGCTCTCCAAAGCTGTTGTGTGTACCATCTGGGAAAACATAGAGGTTGCCAATATGTTAACAGTAGGACTCCCTTAATAGGTCTCACAATAAATGAGGAAGCCTTTTCAGGTCAGGAAAACAGGTATTGCCCCCCTCTCTCAGTTTAAACCACAGAACCTATATCTATTTACTACTTAAAATGCTCAGTCAAAAGTTCAACATTTGGCTGAAATTAATTTGTATTATTTCACAGCTCATGTTGATAATCCTCTTTCCATGAAAACCCTTAGTTTAGTCTCAGCTCCCACTGAATGGAAACCTAAACTCATACAACTACAGTTGTTTCTTGTTCCCCTTACCTTTTCCTTGCCTGTTTTTGGCCCTCTTGTTTCTTCCTTTGTGGTCATTTAGACGGTAAGCTCACTGGGGCAGAGGCTAGTTTATTTTGTGCTTGCTTTACACTACTGAGTTCAATCTATTTAGGATATTAAGTCAACAACACATTATTTTCATGCACAGGCACAGTATGGACTCAGAACATTTTGAGCCTGATTTATCATGAAGGACATCGAAATGGAACTGAGGACACGGATTTAATGGACAGAGTCCCATGGCTGGAATACAATATCCGTAGCATGGATTACATCAGTCGCCCGTCTCCTCGGCTCTTTGCATCCCATCTGCCCTACTATTTGGTCCCTAAGGGGTTAAGAAGCAGAAGAGCAAAAGTAAGGCCTGCCACTTCTATAATTTCATATGATTCAGTGTCTTTCTCTAATCCTTTTTTACTGACAATAGTAAGCCTCTCGGGATGGTTCTGCAAGCCTCTCTTTCTTCTGTGGTGAAAATGTGTAACTGCAAATTGCACTGGGCTCAGTACTGATCCTTATGACTCTAAGGTAAGGAGCTGCATCTTTCCTGTTCAAGCTGACTTGCTATAGGTTCACACGACCCTGAAGAGCTCAGAACACTGCTTATTTTATCTGAATGGAATGTTCATATACCTGCTCCCTTGCAAGCACACTTTAATCCTTCTTCACCAGCCCAAATAGGAAATATCTAGTTTGTCAGACATTAAAATATTAAATTTGTTGGAGCAGCAGGAAATTAATGAATGGAACTCCATGCTTACACTGTGCATACCTGGGAAAGGGGAACTGAGGAAGGGAGGGATAACCCCACACTGTGACATTGTGACAATTTCAATTTATATGTGTAAAAGTTATAGCTACATAGAAGGAAATAATGAAAGGGACTGATATGTATCTATTAACTCCACACTTTTTACTACCTTAGTACCAAAGTAATTACAGGAAATGACGGGAAATTACAGGCCAGTCAGTCTGACATTGATACTGGGTAAATTGGTGGAAACCATTATTAAGGAAAGAATTAGTAGGCACATAGATGAACAAAACCTATTGAAGCAGACTCAGCATGGGTTCAGTAAGGGAAGATCTTGTCTCACTAACCTGTTAATGTTCTTTGAGGGGGTGAACAAACATGTGGACAAGGGGGATCCAATAGATATTATTTACCTTGACTTCCAGAAAGCTTTTGATAAAGTTCCTCATCAAAGGCTCCTAAGCAAGCTCAAAAATCATGGGATAAAAGGACAAGTCCTTTTATGGATCAAAAACTGGCTAATTAATAGAAAACAGAGAGTGAGTATAAATGGGCAGTTCTCCCAGTGGAGGGGTGTAAGCAGTGGGGTACCACAGGGATCAGTACTTGGTCCACTGCTTTTTAACTTGTTCATTAATGATTTGGAGTTGGGAGTAAGCAGTGAAGTGGCTAAATTTGCGGATGATACAAAGTTGTTCAGGGTGGTGAAAACCAGTGAGGATTGTGAGGCACTCCAAAGGGATCTGTCAAAGATGGGCAAGTGGGCGTCAACATGGCAAATGGGGTTCAATGTGGCCAAGTGCAAGGTGATGCACATTGGAGCCAAAAATCCTAAATATAAATACACATTGATGGGGTCTGAACTGGCAGAGACAGATCAAGAGAGAGATCTTGGAGTTGTAGTAGATAACTCACTGAAAATGTCGAGACAGTGTGTGACTGCAATAAAGAAGGCCAATGCTATGCTGGGGATTATTAGGAAGGGTATTGAAAACAGATCAGCCAATATAATAATGCCCCTATATAAATCAATGGTGAGACCTCATTTGGAATACTGTGTGCAGTTCTGGGCACCACACCTTAAAAAGGATATTATAGCTTTGGAAAAAGTGCAGAAAAGGGCAACTCGAATGATAAAAGGGTTGGAACACTTTCCCTATGAGGAAAGGTTAAAGCGCTTAGGGCTCTTTAGCTTGGAGAAAAGACGACTGAGGGGTGACATGATCGAGGTTTATAAGATTATGCATGGGAAAGAGCAGGTAGAGAAAGAGGTACTTTTCTCCCTTTCTCACAATACAAGAACCCGTGGGCACTCCATGAAATTGCTGAGCGGTCGGGTTAGAACGGATAAAAGGAAGTACTTCTTCACCCAAAGAGTGATTAACACATGGAATTCACTGCCACAGGAAGTGGTGGGTGCTACAAGCATGGACGGCTTCAAAAGGGAATTAGATAAGCATATGGAGCAGAGGTCCATCAGTGGCTATTAGCCACAAGGTATAGCTAGGGGCTCTGGGGCAAGTGATGCTCTGTCTTCTTGGTGCTTGGGGGGGGGTCAACAGTGGGAGGGCTTCTAATGTCCTGGCCCCACTGCTGGACCTCCTGATGGCACTGGTATTTCTGGCCACTGTGTGACACAGAGTGTTGGACTGGATGGGCCTTTGGCCTGATCCAACATTGGCGTCTCTTATGTTCTTAAAGTAGCTAATACCATATTTTTAGTAACGTTTCAGAAATAGTTAACAATGATGAATATGACACACAATACAAATAAATATACTGACAATAAGAGCAAGCAGTGTACCCCCAATGTATCTTTAAATGCAGCTGATAAAAAATCAAGAGAGAAGTAGAGACAGCATGAAAAGCAGAGCACAAAATATTTCAAAACTAAACTAGGCCATACCAAAAGGAAATTGGATTAAAAACTAAATAAATCCATACCTCTCCAGACACGAAAGTCAACAAAATGCCTGGGAGAAAAGAAACCATGCCTGGGCAAACCTTGCGTGCTGGGCACCAACCTGAACAGTGCCCGTAGCAGGTGCTGAGAGCCACAGGGAAAGTTGGGTGACCTTCCTTGAGGAGAAGGAGGTACATCGAAGATATTGTTGAGAAGGCATCTCTGCAGCCTGGAGGGATGATCAAAATGGTTGAAGGGGAGAACAACAAATACACAGAAGGACAAGGTCAATTTCTCCAGAGCGAAGGCTTCTGTCATTGCAAAAACACGGGATCTGAGAAGGCTGTGGGTGTGTAAGAAACCGTCGAGCTGCTGCCGACGTACGGGCAAGCTCACAGGGCTTTTCAAGGCAAGAGATGTACAGAGGTGGTTTGCTGTTGCCTGCAAATGTGGATTTCCTTGGTGGTTTCCCATCCAAGTACTAACCAGAGCCGACCCTGCTTAGCAGCCAAGAACTGATGCGATCTGGTCAGTGTAAAAAGGCCATAAGGGGTAGCAAATGGGTAACAGTGCTGGGTTAGGCTCAATCATAATCAAGCATCCTCAAGAAGCAATGTTTTATTCTGAACCCCTCAATATAAATAAATCTGAGTGAATGGAAACCATAAAGATAACATAAGAGAATACTGGGAGAATCAGATACAAAAGTTGTGACACACTGCTAGGTGCTTCATCTCAACAGCTTAACCCAATAGAATTTATTGGTTTTATTCTAATTATCATTATGATTGCAGGTTATTTATGTGTCAAGAAACCCAAAGGATGTCTTGGTTTCCTACTACCATTTTTCCAAATTTGCAGTCAAATTTGAAACAGCAGGAGACTTTGGCAATTTCATGGAAAAGTTTTTAGCTGGTGAAGGTAAGGATTGTTTATAGCTGCATGATGAATAATATTTGTCTCTGCACACCTTTCATGCTTTGAGAGGGGGAAAATACCATCTTGAAATAGTAGAACAAATTATTCAGAATGCCGCACTACATTGGAAGGCTTTTCCTAGGCAGAGGCAAAACTAAGGGCTAGGAGACAGGACCCAGGAAAAAGCTGCTGGGAATGTGAGGGTTTTTTTTGGGGGGGGGGCGGCCTTTCCTAAACTGCTAGAACACTGGGGAGAATTAACCGAGGTTGCTTTATGAGAGGGCATACCCAAACAAATGGTTACCATGTAGACTTAGCTTGTTATTCCTGTTTGGTCCTTGAATTTCTTAAATGTCTTCATTATACTTAGTGCTAATTTTCTGCTCACTGTCTACCTACATGTATGGACCGGTAATTTTCATTTCATTGTATCTGAAGAAGGGTACGTTACATGAAAGCTTATAATCCTGAAGAAAACTTTGTTGGTCTTAAAGGTGCCACTGGTCTCAAACAAAGGAATCAAGGGATTTCTAAAGGAAAATAAGGAGATGGTAGAGAAGCACAATTACTTTTTTGCTTCTGTGTTCAATGTGGAAAATGCCACAGCACCTATTTTCAGGAAGGGAGTCTGAAGAGCTGAGCCAAATTGAAGTGACCGGAAATGAAATTCTAGAGCTACTGGGGAAATCAAAACCCAATTAGTCACCTGGTCCTGATGGCATACACCGGAGTGTTCTTAAGGAATTCAGCTGTGAGATAGTTGATGTACTGACTCTTACATATAACCTATAATTAAATTAATCTGCTGTACCAGAAGACTGGAGAGTAGGAAATGTGACATCATTTTTGGTGAACCAGGAAATTTCAGGCCAGTCAGCCTAACTTCTGTCCCAGGCAAGTTAGTAGAAATTGCAATTGAAAGTAGAATTATTAGTCACATATGGAGGGATAAAGCCTACTGAGGGAAAATCAGCATGGCTTCTGCAAAGGGAAGTTCTGCCTCAACCATCCTTAAGAAATTGAACAAGCATGTAGATGGTGGTGACCTAGTAGACATTATGTGCCTGGACTTTCAATAGGCTTTTGACAAGGTACCTCACCAAAGTCTCCTGAGTAAATTTAGCAGTAATGGGATAAGAGTTGGTGTGTCCTCACTGCAATGCCCCATGGGTTGAAGGGGGGGGGGTGCAGAGGAAAACCCACATGGGCAGACCAGAGAGCCAATGGTGCAGCACCAGGCAGATGCCCCACACTGCTTGGAGGGGAGGCAAACCCTTTCCCCAGCCTGCTCTCACAACTAATGCTGTGAGTAGATGGATGTTGTGATCTCCCCCTGCCCCCGAGCAAGCATGGAAGGGGGCTGGGAAGACAAACTGAACTACCCCCCGAAGAATCGAGAGGGCAGTGGCCCAGCCACAAGGACATGTGTACAGCTGGAGCCAGGCCAAGCAAGGCTGATAAACTGGAGATGCACATGGAGCTTTGGCTGCCTCTGGCCAAGGCCTCCAGGAAATCCATGGCAGGGTAGTGCTGGGTGTTCAAGCCAGAGATCATTGGCAAGCAGTGTCACCCCCATGCAGCAGCAACAGCAGCCGCCCCAGGCTGAAGGATGTCAGATTATCTGATTGGGGAACAGGCACCACATACACAAGGCTGAGCATGTGGCAGAAGCTCCAGGCCACCAAGTGGCCAATATAGCTGGGGATTGCCACAAGGCGATAGACACCTATGACTGAACGTCACTGGGTGTTCCATGGAAGAGGGAGGCCCAGCCACTGAGTTGTGTGCTTGGTGGCAGGACCAGGCCCCCAGTTGTGTGGAAGAAACTGCCATAGGGTTGCCAAGTCGAAAATAGTCGGGAGCAGGGGACTCCCGTTCGGCGTCCTATGTGCGTCCGGCGTCCTATGCGCCAACATAGAGTTTCCCCCTCGGATGGTCATGGCCCCACACCCAGCATGCCCGGCATCATAACGTCCCTTCCTGGTGACGCACACGCTGGGGTGGGGTTCCCCCCGGGGCCCGATCCACCGGCAGCGGGGAACGGGCCTCTGGGGCAGGGGGTTCCCCGCCTCCAGGGGGACTTGGCAGCCCTAAACTGCCAAAGAATGCCCCCCATGGACCAAAGCACAGCTGCTGTGTGTGGGGGCACGAATATGGAAGCTGCACTGGATGTCAGCAGGTCCCTGTAGAGGATCCTCTGCACCCCCCATGTGCAAACAACAATCCCCAGAGCTGCAGACCGAGTGAAGAGGTGTGCAGCCTCATCTTGGAACCCCGAGCCAGGACGAATGCGGCTGTGGCAGCTCCCAATTTACCAGTGAGGCCATCACTGAAGAAAAGGGGTTCTGCTTGACTGCTGCAGATGAGGTTGTTCTGCCTTGCTGAAGCTACAATCGGAGTGGCTCCATCTGCTCCCCCGCCCCACCAGCAGCCTCCTGTTCCCTCCGTCACACCAGTTGCTCATGGACCAGAAAAAAAGCCCTGGATAGGCCGGTTCTGGCCCACGAGCTTTATATTTGACACCCCTGGATTAGATAGATTCATGGAGGATAAGTCTATCAATGGCTACTAGTCATGGTGACTGAGGGGAAGCTCCACATTCAGAGACACAAGCCTCTGAATCTCAGAGCCAGGAAGCAATATCATGGGAAGGCCTTGGCCTCTTTGCCCTGTTGTTGGCTGTCCAGAAGAACTGGTTGGCCACTGTGGGAGACAGGCTGCTGGACTAGATGGCCCATTGGTCTGATTCACCAGGGCTCTTATATTCTCATCTATTTGCTGCAATGTATAAGGGCAGAACCATTTTCAACCAAAACCCAAGAAAAACAATAACTTATAAATAAGAATGATAAACCATATATTTTGTGTTGTAATTTAGTGTACAAATTAGAGATTTTTTCCCCCAACTCAGTTTTTAAAAAGTTTTGGGTCATATATAGAATCCCCATTTCTACCATGAATCATCCATTGTGCAAGCTGTTTATCATATCGGATTTGAGGCATATCAGTGCCTCGTGTTCACTAGAGCCTGATATTCTCTACAACTGCAGATGGCTTAATGCCCACACAAAACTTCTCCACCTGGAACAGCCTTCCCAGTTACGTAGGGCCAAACCAGATGTGGTGGCAGCCATGGAAGCCAACCTATGGCCACCAATACCATTTTAAAGGAAATCTAACTCCTTTAAAATTTCCACAATGGCCTATAAGGCACAGTGCCAGCAGGTGATCATGTTTTTTCCTGAGCACCATTAAAGCCATCGCTTTAAAGCCATGCTGGGTTTTCACAGTTTACAAAGGGCAGATGGTGGAAACAGATCGCTTGTTGATGCTGTGCTATGGGTCCAATCAGGATAGAGCCCTTATGACTGTTTTAAAAGGCCTAAATTTTCCTCTAAAATGGCATTGGTGGCCACAGGTAACCCTGTGGCTACTGTTATGCCTTGTTTGACCCTTGGAATATCTGAACCATATACACATGTCTCGTGCACTGCAGTGAATAGTGATGTTCACATACACAAGAGCTTCATATATTTTTGTATTAATGTTTAACATTTCAGATTAATTCATAATCCTTTTCCTCAAGATTACATAACATAACCAAACATCATATACATCAATTTCCCCTTAATTATTCCCTCCCCTCTCCCCCTAGCGACCAGAAAAAAGGATCTTATTATTATATCTGTAACCATGAGCATACCCTATGGAGTTTTTAAAATACGTCATTATTGGGGCCCCTTCTCTTACCCAGCTTGTATACCCAAACCATTTCTTCCTTATTTTCAACGCCTTATCTTCCCACGTCTTTTCCTGTTTTATTATCAATAAAATATCTGATTGAATCCATTCATAAAGGTACCGAGTCCAACTTTCCAAAGTCCATTTTAAAGCATCTTTCCATTCATATGCTATTACCTCATGAGCAGCTAGAATAGCTTTAAACAGATCCTTTTTTGATTTATCTACTTTATTATTTCCCAGCAGTCCCATAAATAACACTTTCTCATTCAACTCAGTCTTAACACTACATAATTTATCCACCTTTTCCAAGATCAAATTCCTGTCAAGAAACAAGCCTCTCAGACATGTAAGTATTTGCATTAGTTAGTTAGATAGTAAGTTTTAGCTGAATGACGTGAAGAAAGCAGGTTAGTCTGATATCAACCACCTGTTAACAATCATTAGCTGATACAACTTGGTGCAGCTGGGTATTGTCAAACCTCAGCATGACTAAGGGAAATCTTGACAGCCGAAGATCTAGATCATCACGTGCAAACCACTAATTAGATTAGTAATTGGTTGACAGTTGAGCTACTATTTAGTAGAAAGCAAGCAGGCAGCAAAAGAGAGACTAGTAAGAAGCCAAGAGTCAGAAGCGAAATCTGGAGGCTAGGAACTACATGCATCTGCTCAAAGAAATGCTGGAGTGAGAGGCCGGGATGTTTGCAGGAGAATTCAAGCACCCTTTCAGGCACCACATCGGATAAGACGAATGGCGACCTTGGCGTAGGGCCGTTAAGCTAGAAGGAGGGATGGCAATTCCTTGGCACCAGCCCATCTTCTTCAGGACTGTTGCTGAGAGCTATTAGCTCAGGATAAGTAAACTCAGATAGACAGTTAGGTTTTCTTTGTGTTTGTGCATTGTACACTCTGTATGTTGTCTTTGTAATAAATAGATATATTTTATACTTGCATGGAGTCACTGGCCCAGCCATCATGCCTTCGGAATCGGTCAGACTGAGTTATAAGCAGACTATGTCTCTTTCTTATCACTACTGTGCTGGTTGAAATGACCCAGATTAAGGAATCATAGTCTCTAAGGCACCCCCTGTGTGGGTGATAGCACAGAGGTGGTAGGGCGGGGTTGTGACAATTCCAAAATTCCATTACCATAGGGCAGTGGTGGCTAACCTATGGCACGGGTGCCAGAGGTGGCACTCAGAGCCTTCTCTGTGGGCACTCATGCCATCACCCCAGCAAGGCCCAGACCGTCATTAAAGTGTGGAATTCTCTGCCAAATAGTTTTAAGTAAATGAAAACATTTGGGATTGCTTTCCTTACTTTGTTTGGATCATCTTAAGTTAATGTATGAGTTGTTTTTTCTAAAGTAAAACCTCAGTATTTAGGTTAAATTGCCGTGTTGGCACTTTGCAATAAATAAGTGGGTTTGGGGTCACAGTTTGGGCATTCTGTCTCTAAAAGGTTCACCATCACTGCCTTAGGGCATTCCCACCAAAGATGTGCATAATATCCCCTTACCCTTTTACAATGCCAACACTCTGATTTCATTCCCTTGATCATGTACGATAATTGAGCAGGTGTCCTATACCATTTCAAGATTAATTTCATTTCCAGTTCTTTAAATTTCTCCATTTTTATTTCAAGTATTCCCTTCATTAATCTATTTACATCCTGTACTGATAGGTTCATCTCCTTCTCCCATTTATTGTCCTAATCATAAAGTTCTTATCTTGTTTCAATAGACTATACACTTTCTTTGCAATACCCTTCTTATTGTCATCTTTGGAACTATAAAGGTTTTCAAAGGGGTTATTCTCCTTATTTACTGCTTCAGATAATGTATTTTGTCTCAAAACATTATATAATCCCATAATCCTTAACCAATATTGTCCTGTCACTTTCTCCAATACTTCTTGAATTGGGATCAATTTTTCTTGAGAGTTATACAAATCTTTCAAACTAAAAAAACCTTTTCCCTTTAACTCCTTCCAAAAAGTTCTCAACATTTTTAAATTCTTGATTTAAAGATGCAAGCAGAGCCCATTTTGAAGGCATTGGTATCCAAACAGCTTGTTTCTTTTCCCAAATCCTTAATATTGTCTGTTTTGGCCTATCGTATTTTCAATTTCTTTTTTTATCTTCTGTATAAATATTCCAAATCTACCTGCTCCTCCATTTATAGTATCCTCCCATCTCATCCATTTCTTTTTTTAATAACTTTTTAATTGCATTTTATATACTACATCCTAAAGGAAAGGAAAAAGGGGGAGTGACTAAAACTAACGCAAAAGATAAGACAAGGATCATATTCCAAGACGTTACGTAGTTGTATATCAATCCTACCATAATAACAAAGATTGTTTTATCAAAAGGTTAAATTCTAAATAAAGCTGGCTTGAATCTTAATACTAGTCTCAGGTGTTTAATAATCACTTATATTCTATTGAACTATCCGTTTATTTTTTACAGTTCTTCTTCTTGTACTTCAAGTTATCTTTAAGTATTTTAGGTGCAGCAGTCCCTTTCTCCAAATCTGAGGTTTCCGAAGTACTGCTAGAGCTTCTTGAGGTGTCATCTGGTTCTCTATCGCTAGTTCCCTCCTCTTCCATGTTATTCACAGTTTTTTTGTTGTCTTTACTTGGGCTTTGTTGCTGATTCAAAAAGTCTTTTGCTTTTTGGACAGAGTCAATTTTGTTCTTCTTATCCTTATAGTTGAATACAAGTCCTTCTGGAAAAATCCATCTAAGGGGGACTGAATTGTTGTGGAGAAAGAAGGTTAAATCCTTGTATTTCCGACTTTGCTTCCGCATCTCGAACGAGTGTCCTTTAGAATTTTTACTTTAACGTCTTTAACCTTCAAGACTTTTCCAGATGTAGCTTTCAAAACATTGTCTCTGGTGAATCACTTAGAGAATTTCACATATATTTCTCCAGGCAGATTATTTTTCTTAATAAAATCTGGATACGTTCGATACGCCAAATCTATATTATTCTGCAACGCATCTTGTTTAATGTTTGTCATTGGTGCTAAAGCTTCACTTAAAATTAATTTCAGATTTTCTCCTTTTTGCTCAGGAAAGCGTAAGACATACATTGATCTTTCCATTTGAAGTTGTAGCAATTGGCCTTTATCTGCAGCTTTCTCTTTTTCCACTTCCTCCAATTTTTGTTCAGTGTTTTTGGTTTTTGTTTCAACTTTCTTGATGGCTCTGTTGGTTTTGTCTGCTCTTTTATCCATCTGTGTGAGTTGCTTTTGGACACTGTCCAGCTTACTGTTGATGTTAAACATCTACTTCAGCAGGGGGTGCAGTGCCATGGCCAGCATGTTGGGAAAGTCAGCAGCTGCTTCCTGTTTCTGGGTGGGAGTCGTTCTGGGAGTACCTAAAACGAATATATCATCTTCGGTATTATAAACATTTTAACTGCCATTATCTTCCCCAATATACTCAGATTTTTAAAATTCCATTGGCTTAATTTTTTGGTATCCTTCTCCATGCTATTTTATAGTTTATCCTCAAAAATTTTAAATATTTTTTGTTATCATTACACCCAAATATTTCAATCTCTTAATTCCTAATTTCATACCTGCTATTTTTACTACTTCTTTTTGTTCTTTTAAATCTATCTTGCTAAATATTATTTTTGACTTTTTAATATTTACCCCTGGCAGTTTACAAAGGGCAGATGGTGGCAACAGATCGCTTGTTGATGTTGTGCTATGGGTCCAATCAGGATAGAGCCCTTATGACTGTTTTAAAAGGTCTAAATTTTCCTCTAAAATGGCATTGGTGGCCACAAGTTGACCCTGTGGCTACTGTTATGTGTTGTTTGACCCTTACTATATCTGAAGTCTATACACATGTCTTGTGCATGTCAGTGAATAGTGACACATAAGAGCTTCATATGTGCATCAAGGGCATACACGAGGTTCTTGATGAAAGAGAGCTTAGTTGCTGTTTGAACACATGAAATTTCTAGCCAAAGTTCTACCCCTATTTATATCATGTTTATTACAGGGTTAGTTTATGTACAGTATAACTATACATTGGTAACAGTGCAATCCTAAACAGAGTTACACCTTCTAAGTCCATTGTGGGCTTTGAAGGATGCAGCTCTGCTTTGGATTACATTGGTTAGTTTAGTATAAATGTGGGCCACGGTGTATGGCAGAATAGAAATTAAAAACTGATATCATGCTGGAACACATCAGTATTTTTAAAATTCCCTCTTGCCGTGAGTCAGTGCTTTTTCTTGCCCTCTTGCTGTGAGTCAATGCTTTTTCTTAAATCAGTATATATATACAACCTCAATACTGAGCTTTTGAAAATGACCATATATGTCATTTACCTACTCTTCTAATAAAATATCAAAGAAAAGCCACATAAATTAAAGAAAATAGTAGAACATGCCACTGTGTCATGAATGTGAACTCAGGGTGGACTTTCTTCTCCAGGTTATACATCATATTCAGCCTTTCATTTATTCAAACCAGTTGACTAGTTTGTCTTCTAAATGAGGGGTTTGGGAGCTTTTCGATTGGATAAGAGGGGCTTTCCAACCAACAAGAGTGCTAGTGATCATATATTTACCTAATCAACAGGGTAAAGAGAGTAAAATGTAAACAGGTGGGCAGGTGTCAGCTAGCTGTCATGTTTTGCTTGTTCCCTTCTCTGATCCTGGCTTGCTCGCTGCTCTGCCGCTTGCCGTAAACATCGATAGGGAGACCGTGAGAACCGGTGCTGCCAGACTACGTTATCTGTCTGGCCTTGTGAAGGGGGGAGGGCTTGCGTTCCACCGCTGGTGTGAATCTTTCGGCTCTCATGAGGCACTGAGACTCTCCTGCTTATTACGTATCCTCCCGCCGGAAGAATTCCTGCCCGCGCGCTCGAATATCATTTGCTTAGCCATTTGCCTCATCCTGCTATATGTAGGGATGTTTCCCCCCTTGGTTATTCCTAACAATAATCCTGTGGATATGGTACCAGTTTTGTAATCCAATAAAGCATAACGCTTCCTTGGAAATGTGTGTGGAGATTTATTTGCTCCTGAACCTGATAGCAGGTTGGCATCATGGGTTGACCTGGATTAACATCAGTGACTGGACAATTTTCATAGCTATGTAGAGTTTTCTAGTGTGATCTGGGAGGCTGCTATTGCTCAATTTCAATTAGAAGGGATTTCTTAGTTAATTGATTAAGGCCTGTGTCAAAACCTGAGATGGGGAGTTTACTCCATGGTAGAAAGCGTATATAATACTCTTTTAAAATCACCAAGCTAAAACATTTCTGCTGTTAAATGTTTCATGCTATTTTGTGCTCTAGTTGTGTGTGTTTTTTTTTTACTTAGCTGTGGCATTTTAGGATTTGTTAATTGCAGTGGTTTTCTCAAGTTTCCTCTGTGTGCTGCCTCAAGTAGCTCCCATGAGAGGCGGAGCATATATTTTCTAAATTATCAAATGAAAGATTTTCCTCACCCAAGAAAGCAGGTCTTTGTTTAAGTGGGCTGCCCATTAGATACCTTTTCTCTGGTGTAACCTTCCCATCTTAGCTTTTTTATTTCAAAATTAACCAAGAACGTGTGGCAAGCCATAAAATGCCGAGGTACCGAGGTATGATTAGTCCATGACCAAAGTAAAAGTGGAACTTGTGATCTCATACCGCTGTATAACATCAGCTCTCATTTATACCTGATTTATTTTTAATACCTAAATAAATTTGTTTCCTATCAGTTCTAGCTAGTTCATGGACAGACCATGTTGAAGGCTGGTATGCTCACAAGGATGACTTCAATATTCTCTTTCTTACCTATGAAGAAATGAAGAAGGTAAGATTGTTCTGTCAGCAAAACCACCTGACATCATGTTTTAGGCATCTTCAACCATGATGTTCAAACAGTTTCAGAAGGGAAGAAGGGAGTGATATAGATGTTTACTAGTCCCCGCTCCCATAGGAGGCCCTGTGCCTGCAGTGGTACCCACCAAAGTAGTTAACCTCCTGCTTAATCTCTGAGCGATCTGTTGATGTTTCTGCTAAACCATTCTGAATTCATACCAGCAGTCTGAATACACCTTCAGAAGTCATGATGCCCAGTCATTTAAGCGGACACTAATTCTCAGGAGGTGATAAATACGTACACCCATTAATTTCCTCTTTGTATCTGCCATGCTGCAGTTCACCTGTTATCAGTCAGTAGTCATAAAAGCTACAGTAGCTCTGGCCCCATTTATTTAGTACTTGGAAAATAAATAAGGCCTTGCATTTAACGGCAGTGATTACTCAAAAGGGGGGAAATGCAATTGATAGTACTATATTTGAAATGGCCCAACAGTTGCCCTGAGCCTGCTTGCAGGAGAGGGCAGGACATAGGTGTAATAAAAATAAATAAGTAAATAATTACCGTATTTCAGTATCCTGAACTAATGTTTAGACTTTCAACGTCTTATTACTCTCATGCCTAATTCTTTTAGTTGCTTGGTCCTTATGGTTTTCAGTTGTGGATAGCCTGACACCAAAACCATGTCCCATTTCAGGACCTGAGGAGTTCCGTATTGAAAATATGCAGTTTCCTAGGAAAGAAGCTGACTGAGGAAGAGTTGCAGGTTGTTGTGGATAAGGCTACATTTGATAAAATGAGAATTGATCCCAGGTCAAACTATGAGAACATGCCCACCGATCTCCTAGAGAAAGGCAAAGGACACTTTCTTCGGAAAGGTAAGTCACTGAGGCATCAAATGTGGGCTCATGCCCAGTAGTCAGGCAATCATAGTATTTCATTACATTAAATTCAAAGAGCCCCACAGAGTGGCTCATTTCACATAGCAATGATTATGGGTGCCTCTCTTATATAAAGGAAGAGTTGAGATTTCCCGCCCCCCCAAATCCAATCAACGCAATTAAATCAGACATCCTTGAGAGTTGCCCTTAGGTGAATGTAGAATCTGAATGGGTCGAATGAATCACTCTCACATTAAGGACTCCAAGGGTTAATGTGGAGGTTCTGAGTTTTGTAGGCGCAGCTTCCCATTTCCCTGCTCAGTCGGATGTTCAGCTGCCGGCTGCTGCAGGATCCATGGCTTTGAGAGAAGAAAGTACTAGAGGCTGTCAGGTTCCAGTTTAGGTTGGGAGAAATAGAGGCATGTAAACATTTCTTAAAATGTACATTATGGCGTGCAGGGCATCAGGCAAGAACACAAGCAATAGCCGTCTGTTCTGTTCTTGGAGACCTTGAATTGTGAGAGTTCCTCTTTCCAGTCTCTTCTGCTGGTTACACTGCAGAATCCATTGTCCATCGCAAGTGCTTCTCTGCAGCACTGCTCTCTCATGCCACGCCGTCTCCAGCTGCCAATGCACACCATTGTGCTGATGTGATACTTCCCCTGCCTCATTGCTGACATTGCCTCTTCATGACATCTAGGCAAATGCACCTCGTATCACTGCCCCTCGGTCCTCATCCTTGATGCCCCAGCAGCAAAACAGTTATACGACTGATCCTCTAACCTTTAAGGAAATATTATTCCTCTAGCAACTTTTGATGCTTACTGTGCAGTCCTACACAGAGTTGCACCCTTCTGAATCCACTGAAGTCAAAGGATTTAGAAAGCCGTAACTCTGTTCAGGGTTGCACTGTTAAATTTTTATTTCTAGCATAATAAAACAGAGAAGTTGCCGATGTCTGTCTGACCACTTTCATTGAAATGTCCCTTTTCTCTCTGCTTCTTGTACTAGGTACTGTTGGGGACTGGAAAAACATAATGACTGTAGCACAGAGTGAAAGGTTTGACAGTGTTTTTAAGGAAAGGATGCAAAACCTGCCCCTCAGGTATTGCTGGGATATCAATGATCACCTTCCATCTTGAAAGATGAAAAAGAATGCTCTGTGTGCATACATTCAATCTACATCTGTGCAAAATAAAAATTGCAATCCCCCCCCAGTCGTGACTTCTTGTGCAATATCCTAGTCTCCACATTCTGAAACGTGGGGGAATATATTATTTAAGTTCTCCATTATTACATTGATATCCTCACCTTTCTTCAAGGAGGACTGTATATGTGTGCTTCCTGTTCCCACACTACACTTTATATCACAATCTTAAATGGATTCAGTCCTGAGATATAGGTTAGCATCAGAAGAGTGCCCAGAGACTAGACAGAACAGAGACTAGAATCCAGGTTAAATCCAACGTATTATCTACTTCACCATAATGGATGACTGCAACAGCTGTCACCAGTTAAGCTATACTAGAATGAAAGTGCTTTATTTTGACTATAATTTTTATTGGAAGCAGTCACAAAAGAAATTGAATTCAGAAATATAGAAGACTGTGTGGTGATGACTTTACACAGAACTTCCTGTCCATGAAGTGCCAGGCCAGTACATTTTCAGCCCTGGATTGGTCCAGTTAAAGCCTCCATCTTTGAACACAGTGGATTTTCAGACCCTGATTCTGTGTAGTTTGAATTTGTCATGGGGGGGAAATGGCCGCATTGTAACAGTATAGCTTCCTCTTGATATATTGACCATTGAAATTAGAAATCCAGTACAAAATGTAATCTTTATCATTTTCATAAGATGAATTTCTTATGATTGGATCTTTATCCCACTCCATTCTGTGTTCAGAGTTGGTAAGTTGGTCAAGGAAAAGAATTGCTTCAGTATTTTGATGTGTGACCAGAGTAAAGTATAGACTTCACCCTAACCCAGAAAAAACACAGGGTGCACTGCATTAATCATTGCATGGTTAATATTCCAGGAAATAAAATGTACATAACGAAGTTGCACCAAGTGAATATAAAGTGGCCATTATGTTGAGAGTAAAATGCCAGTGGATGCAATTGTTGAGAAGTGACTTTTTTCCTCTTACACCAAATGTGCTTTGATCCTAGAATTACCATTCATATCTTAATCAGCAAGACATTGTAAGGGATTTTTTTAAAAGTCCCAGTTGGTATGGAGCAACTTATGCCTGCCAGACTTGTAGAAGACATCACTGTCCACATCAACAACACACACAAAGACATGGTTTAGTCAATCGACACGTGATAATCAACCGAGAACTACAAGCTATTGTTACAGATAATGTAAGCTTCATCAAGCTAATGAAGGAATAACCACAAGGCTGACAAACTTTAATCAATGTTAATCCTGAGGTGACAATTATTTTTACATGTCCATGCCAGAGGACATTTTGGGGGGGACGCGGGGGGACGCAGTCCCCCCGGGTGAGGTGCAGGGGGCGGGGCACATGACGAAGCCCCGCCCCCTGTTTCCGGCCACCCCGCTTCCAGCCCTCATTCAGCAAGGAGGAGGCAGGAGAAGAGGGAGGGTAAGTTGTTTCCTGGCCGCCTCTCCCCACCCCTGCCTGCCTGGGGCCAGGGGGGGCCTTTGTGGGGCTTCCTCGCACTCCCGCTGGCCTTGCAGGTCCACTGCTGGGCCCCTGATGTCAGGGTGTGTGGCATATGCTAATGAGTTATGCTAATGAGTTCCCCTAGCTCTTTTTCTATGAAATGACCCCTGGTCCATGCTATCAGTTCCATTCCAGGGAAAAAGAAAGGGTACCAAGATTTCCCAGACATCAGTCTTGATGACCTGCACACCACGGAATTTTCTGAGGGTTGCAGTAGAGAAACAGAGACAGTAGTCTGGTCTACAAGAGGCATGGGTTATACCAAAACACTAGGGCCTAGAACAGCACAGTAGCTGATTATTGAAGTTTTTGAAAGTGGGGTAAGAAAACAGAAGAGATTTTTTTCTACAGATGAATTATCATTCCATACTCCTCAGTAAATTGGAAATGAGATTCTAATGTAGAGGAAGAAAAATCTTACGGTGAATATACAGGGGACTTATCACACTGCTTATACAGGGGACTTATCACCCACAGCCACCCACATTCTTCTGTGATGTGCAGCAGTGGAAGATATGGCTTCAGAGTATCCACTCTGTGTCGAGGTTTGCGCGGTGCTAGCCCACTGCAGGTTGCGAGTGGTGTGAGAGTATCAAAGAAGACGTAAGTCTTTTAGGCTTGGTGTAAAACTATATACAATTTATTCACACAATCCTCCACCAATATATTGCACAGAATGACAAAATGCTCATGCAGACACCAGGTTTCCATCAGGAAGGTAAAGTACACAGTACAGCATCATACTTATACTAGCATTGTCCAATCAAGACCCAATGCTGAGTCACTGTTAATTAGCTCTGCTATCAACTAGACAGAACCGGTTGGAGCCAGCTCTACTGACACCCTGAGCTGTCAGCTCCTGTCAAACAGATTGATATGATCTACAGCCAGACTTATAGAACACTTGGATGTTGACACTCCCCCTGAAGTCTGTGCTGTAATCCCTAGTTTACCTTTCAAAACTGTAAACTTATTCACATCAAGACACCTCGTGAACATATCTGCTACATTGCTTTCAGACGTACAGTAGTTCAGTTTGATCAAACCACGTTGTAATACATCTCTTACATTCATGTATCTTATGTTAATGTGTCTGCTCCTCAGTCTAATACATTGGTTATCTGCTAATTGTTGAGCAGCTGAATTGTCACAGTAGACATTCACAGGCATTCCAGTTGCACACAATATTGACTTAGTGCAGAATATTCTGCCTCACATGTACTGAGTGATACATATTGCTGCTTTACTGATTTCCACAGTACTACAAGAACATTGTTCAGGTATAAAACAAACCCTGTTGTAGACTTTCCATCTTGTCTCTCTCCCCAGCTAGAGTCACAAAATGCAGTTACAACATTTTCATTGCTAGACTCTAATACAAGTTTATCATCAACAGTGCCGTTGAGATAACGCAAAACCTTTTTGACTGCGACCCAATCTCTTTCATAAGGTTTGTTACTCCTTTGACTTAGTAAATGAACAGCTATGCTGATATCTGGTCTACTCCAGTTGCATACATAAGATAGAGAACCAATTAAAGATTGATATAGCTGCTTATCAGCAAACTCTTTGTCATCAGGTTCTTTTATATAGCCAGTGGTCATCGGAGTTGTTACACTATGTGTATCTTGCATGCCAAATTTTGTCAGAAGCTTGGTAATTTTATCCTTTTGACTCATCATAAACCAACCTCTGTTGCTCCTAGTAACTTCCACTCCCAGATAATGACCAACCTCACCCAAATGCTTCACCTTGAACATGTTTTGGGTTGTTTGTTTGAACCATTCTAACTGTGATTCGTTATGAGATAGAAAACACAGATCATTAACAAACAATATTAAATAGCAGTCATTGTTATCAATCCTTATATTGAACAAACAAGGATCAGCCACAGCTTGCACAAAACCAACATTCTTTAAAGCTGTGCTTAAACAGTCATACCAGTTTTTCGCGCTTTGCTTCAAACCATACAATGATTTCTTCAATCTTAGCACTAATTGCCCATTTGAGTTTTCAAACCCTGATATTTGTGCCATATAAATTTCCTTTGTTACAGGTGCATTTAGATATGCAGTAGTAAAATCAAAGTGATTCACCATCATGTTATTTTGCCCTGCTCTGATAAGCGCAAGCTTAAACGTGTCAGAGTGAACTGTGGGGGCAAATATTTGGTCATAATCCTGCCCTTGTATCTGAGCATACCCCTGGGCGACCAACCTTGCTTTCCTCTTAACACATCAATTTGGCAATTGTTTTACTTTATAGACCCAATGACAACCAATTACATGTTTGTCTTTTGGCAACCTTGTTAGTGCATACACTTCATTTGAGTTATGCTCTTCTTCCATAGCTTGAAACCATGCCTCTTTTTCATCATCAGGCAGTTTCAACACATCACTGTAACTTTGAGGTTCCTTGATATACACATGGTTTACATCATAACCATTATCTGACAGGTGGAACACCTTTAGTGCTATGAGACGATACTCTGGGTAACACTCTTTTTTCATCTTGCACTTTTATAGAAGATTGCTCACTCTTTGACACAACTTCCTCTTTTACACTCTCATTTACACTCTCAATGTTTTCAGTGCATGGTAGTGCAATCATTTGAGGTAACTCATTAGCATGAATTTTATTCCAGTTCTCATGCTCACAAAAATTGTTACCGTTTGTGCCTTTGAATTATCATTGTTCAACACATAAACATTGTTCTGCAGCTTGCCCACTGCACACACCTGGTTTGCCTTCATAATTTTACATTCCTTGTTGGCAAACAACACATTAAACTTTGCTGCATCAAGGCACATAACGCTTAGCAGATTTTTTTCAAGAGCAGGCACATATAGAACATTTTTAAACGTATGATTTAGGCTAGGGAAAAACACATCTCCCTGACAAGTGACCTCTGATGGTGTGCCATCTGCTAAACTTACATGTTTAAGACTTGAGTCCCGTTTATTCAGTAGCAGACTCTCATCTTTGCAAAACATCTGTGAGGCGCCTGAGTTGAGTAACCAGGAAATTTTAGTGGTCTCATTCGTGACAACCGCTGAAACAGAATGTTTAGCCTCAGTCTGTCTTTTCTTCTTTTGCTCCTGTTTCTCAGGACAGGCTCGTAATAAATGTTTAGTTGAGCCACAGCAAAAACATTTCTTCACTTTTAGAGCGACGGGCGAAACTTCTCTGTGTAGCTCCTTACCGGCGCAGCTGGTTACAGGAAACTCCCCCAGCCTCTCCTTGGAATGCTTCCCAGACTCCTTGGAACTCTGCCCAGACCCCTTGCAGCGTAACTCCTCCTGGAGTATTTGGCCAACAACATGTTGCAGGCTGAGACTTTTAACTTCCACAGTCTCTAAGGCAGTAATAAGCATGTTGTAATCCTGTGATAGAGAACTCAATATCACGTATATTTTGTCCTCCTCTGCAACATCTTTTCCACGCTCATGCAGCT